AAACCTTCATCTGTACCTATTCGACCATATTCGACCCTCTAATGCTTGGTTCATGGTGGCAACGCAATGGCCCGTGTGTGCCCGCCATCTTTGCATCTACTGCTGAAGCTCTTTTTCATGGAGGTTCTTGGCAGTCGATCTACAGCTGATAGGGTTTCCACAATTGATATGGGTTTACACATGGAGCATCCAGCAAGAATTTTGCAATATCTTGCATATCATTTTTGGCTCATGCATAGCTGATCGGAGGCAAAGTCAGCTTTTGGACGCCTCAAAAACGGCTATCTTGGATGATTAGATCTTGGATGAACACCCGTTGGCCACACTTCAGGATGGGTTTGTCTGTCTGGATGTTTACAGTTCCAAACGAATCTTGTGTGGGAATCAGGATTAAAACCTTCACATCCAGGTATCTCTGCTATTGGTCGCTTCGACCTGCAGGGTCTCCAGGTATCTCCAGCGGGTCTCTCATCCAAACAGACCACGTGCACGACTGGAGACCCACCGTGGTCAGTGCCAGTCTCGATGCCGACCGTCCGGATCCAAGCCTTTCGACGTTTTGAGCTCCTGAACATGAAACACAGGAGTATGGGCGTTTTCATTTCGTGACCAAACGATGTATGAACCAAAAGGCCGCTGTGATCTGTAAGTACCAAAATATCTCCCAACAGATCTCCCAGGCCTCACCGTTCCATCCATCGACCCGATTTATTTCGTGTCACCGATCCTGACCGATCCCAATCCCTCTGGCTGCGCATGGCACATCTGCCCATCTCTGTGCATGGCGTGGCTTCTCCAGCAAGGAATTCAGCGAATTCAGAGCGACCAAGCGACCGAAAAGGTGACCGAAGGATACTGAAGGATACCGAAGATACCGAAGGGACCGAAGAGTGTCGTCAGTCTGGCTTGCCATGGCAGTCTGAAAAATGAGACTCTGCATGTGCGGGAGATCTGTCTGTTGCTGAGCTTTGGGAAGGGCAATCAAGGCTACTAGGTCCTGACTAGGTTACACTCCCCTTTCTTCCCTCCTCAGCTCCACCACTCACTCTGTAATTCTCAAAGGAATTGTCCAACAACAGAAGTGGCGCAATTTCCTCTCTGACGTTGATGGATCTCTCCAAATCATGGATCGATGTCAGCCCTGCTGGGGCGCTCGGCCCCCCCCTGCTATGGCTCAGTCTCTTGGGCGATCTCAGCGGAGAACGTCATGAGATCGAGGGCACAGAGTGGAGCAACTAACATCGGATGTTGGCATCATACTTCAACACCAAGTTTCCTAGATTGCCCAGCTTGGAAAAAACACCATAGTGGAGCCAACTAGAAAACCAACCTTCCATACGTCTCACAAAGGTGCGAAGATGCCTCTGAAGTTTACCCCTTCATCATGCCTTCGAAGGAGACTCTTTACGAACCCCGCGAACTGGGCGAACTGGTGTGCTTGAGGAACATCCTACTGAACATCCTCTATGTCAAACTACAGCCAGCAAGCCAAACACGAATTCTGCTCATATCGATTTGCCCCCCTGACCGGTCCTCTTGGACAGAAAGCTTGCTTGGTCCATCTTAGGTCCCTTTCTTGGAAAAACACCACACAACGCCAGAGTCGGGACACCTTCCTGGGACCGAATCGGCATCCAGAAAGGTCAACAGGTTCCAAGAAAAGGGGCGCTTCCCAATGGAGAAGTTTAGCAACGGGTGGCAACCAAAAAGGTTTCAACCTGTAACCTTGTGGCACCTTGTTTTGCACCGCTCAAAAAAAGCGCCCAACTGTGAACCCCAAACGCTCCAGCAGGGCGGCAGCACATGTCTTTTTATCAGTGGCATTCTGCAGCCAGCTGTTTGCCTTGCAGAAGAGTTACAAGTTAAATCAAGTTAAACAAGTTACGAACCAAAATGATGCTCACGAGGTTCATGGCGTGGAACGTGGTGACTGGCACGTTCACGTGGATGTTCATGTTTTTTGGCTGCATGTTGATCGGCAAGTGGATGATCCGATGTCTCACCCTTGAATTGGTCTGCCTCCCACAGACCTGTTTTGATGGTGCCGTCGGCATAGTTCATGATCCCTTCTCCACTCCTCTGGCCGTCTTTCCATTCGCCAAAATACAGGTCACCATTGTTGTACCAGGCCTTTGTTCTCCCTCCATGGCCAGCAGTGGACATCACCGGTCCGCAATAGACTCCATCTGCCATCTTGTGCACTTTGGTCAGCTTGCAAACGGGGTCATATTGCCAAGGTTTGTTGGGAAAGCCAGCCAGGTCGATGATGTCCGCCTCAAGGCCGTCTTTGGCACTGGCCCTGCTGCGTGGAATCCCTGTGGCAGCAGCCACCAGCACCAGGCCAACCAGCACTAGGCCAATCAGCACCATACGCTGCCCATGGCGGTGGGATGCCTTCTCTTCGCCCAACAGGCCCTCTGCCTCCACCTCCACACGTCCAGTGCTCACGCTTTCCACGTCCATGGCTGCCATGGCGTCTGTCGGACGAGTCGGGAACGCGTCGGTCGTGCGGGAGGTGGAATGAACGGTGTTTCAGTGCTGCTGTCGCCCAAGGCATCGGACGAAAACGACACCTCCACTCGGTGGTGATCACTTCGGTGAACAAAACAGATGCGCGTCAAAAACCCACAGGTCACATGTCCTGCCTTGAAGGCTGGGATGTCGCTCTAGGTGTCCCTGCTTTTCCAAGGCGTGGAGTCCCGGACCTCGGAAGCGTGGCTTAGTTGCCCGGGAACCCCAAACAGGAGCCTCCAAACAGGTCATTCATCATGTCTGCCATCGAATCAGGTTCAAGAGGGCAATGTCACGGCCGGTTTTGCCTTGCACGAGTTGGTGCATGTTGGTGCTATACTCAAGGACAGAACAGCGGCACCATTAAACTGATCTGCAAACTCAGGAGGCGTTACGTCGTTCTTTCTTCCAGATTCTCCCAAGGAGGGGATCAATATATATATCAATATATACATATAAGCGGAAAATACGGGCTGCATGATTGATGTCTTCCAAAACATGGGACACCCCGACTCTGGTTCCGATGTTCTTCAGAATCAGGGGCACCTTAGTTTCAATGTTGTAGTAGATCTGAGATCCCCAAAGATCAGACATGACCAGACCGAAAAGGCACGAAGTCCAGTCACTTCAGTCACCACTTCACTCCCATGGCCCGAATTCAGTCACGTCGCTCACCCCAAGACTGGCGATCTGCCGACCAACAAGGACCAACAGTGTTGCAGGATCCCCATCTGATCTGAATTTGGGCCTCAAATAGGAAAGGATCATTCCTGTGGAAGGCTTGTGCAGTAAGATGTGCTATCCGCGCCGCATACGTATCTAAGTTGCCATGTTGCTGAAAAAACTCCGACAAACATGGCGCTGGTGAAAGGAGCCACCCAGATTCGACCACCTTTTGGGAAGAGTTTGTCCTGTGTCCACCTGCAGTGTCCATGCAGAGTCCACCTGGTTTCATCACCTTTGCTCAGCTCCTCCAAATGGAAAAATGTGGGGGAGATCAATAGGGATCTATAGGAATCCACCACCATTAAGGAAGTCCATGAAGATCCAAACACTAGAGGCACCCCCTCATTTTGACCAACACTCATGACCTGAAATGTTCTCTACTAAAAAATGTGTTCAATAACTTTTGAGGCTCTCAAAACCGGCAAACGAACAGCGCGGTATATAGAGTGGCTCATGTGAGGCTCACAAAACAGGGTGGTTTCATCCGTTTTCCAATCACCTGTCTCCACCTCGCCTGGTGGACCATGCTCACGTCTTCAGCTCCCTGCTTCGAGCAGCCTGAGCAGCGGGGCAAGACACGCGGCAGCACATCGAACCAGGGAAGTACGAAGCAGCAGGAGAACCAGGTTATTAGTGCTCAGCCATTTGATGTTTGACCTGCCCGCTGCCTTTGAGCAGCATGCATGGCGCACATGAACGATCCACGCCCACCGGTGTGAACGGCAGCAAAAAGCTCCTCATTAAAATTGAAACTACATTGAACACATCTTGATCTGGCTCAATTACATTGATCTCAAAGCATCTCATCAATATATCTTTCACAAACACAACCCCTCCAGGCCCTCCAGGCACCCGAACGAAAAAAACACACACACAACTGCCCGCCAACCAGACCCGAACACAAAACCGCCCAAACCGCAACCGCAACCCGTGCAGCACCTGAGTCACCAAAACGGTCGTTCGTGTTTTCGTCGATTTCTGCGTCCGTGAAATCCGTGCATCCTTTCTGCGGGGGTCCTTTGCCCCTTTCGACGGTGGCCAGCTTTGGGCACGAGCGCCCAGGACGAGCGCAGGACGAGCGCTGGACGCGCAGGAGGACAGTGCTGGTGAGCGCCATGAAGTGGGCGCCTGAAGATCTGAACAAAGATTGCCCTAGATCTAAAAATGACACCACCTCAAGTGGCCAAAGGAAGCTTTTTGTGATCTTCAGAAGCCACAGCTGGCTGGGGCTTCTTGAATTCTTGTTGCGCAAGGTTTCTGGTTTTCCACTGCCAATGCTGATCTCTGTCATCCATCTGTGCATGTTGACTCTGTGCTGCTGGGGATGAACCCTGATCCGCCCACAGCCGGGACGGTGGAGCACTCCAGTGGGCCAGAACATGTGATGTTTCCTTACTTGGAGAGTTTATGTATGGTCAATATAGAAGTGGGAGACAGGAGAGGAAGCTTAGACACCAGCCAGAATGACCTGCAATGGCTTTCAAATTGTATACTGTAATTAGTCTGACGACTAGCAAAACAGGACACTATACATCCATACATCCTGAGGCATGTAGATTCATGTAGATTCTATCTCTAGAACCATCTGGAACCACTGCTGATCTTGCTGCGTGCTCGGCTGGGCCGGAGCGATATGACGCGTGCGACGGGACCCCACTGCAGCATCGAAGTGAGCCAGACCAGAATTTCTGCAGTCAATTAATCAATCACCCACAATCACCCACAAATATGCAATTTGAGGACCATTTAAGGAATTGATTTCTGTGGCCAACCCTCCAATCCCACAATGAGTCTGGCTCATTGGTACGTCAACCCGAATTCTTACCATTTACATCGGCGCAAGCTATAGGCAGTGCGCTGATCAAACAGCTCAGCTCATCCTCATCTGCTGAGGGATCTCTGGGCCATAATTGCCCAGGCCTTTGTATCCTTGGTGTTTGAATCACACTCGGCGACCGGGTGGGGAGCCAGGGGCGGTTGTGAGTGTGATGTTCCTGGATTGAAGGATACCAGCTCCCAAAACACCAAGCTGGAAACAGGCAACAAAAAGGGATGGTATGTGGATGTCGATTCATGACTGGCTTTTGGTCACATCACAACCATTCACTTATGTGTCAGATGTGAATTGAATAAACATATTGTTTTGTCCAATGATTCTTGAATTCAACAGGTGAAACACAAGTGGTCGTAATATGTTGCTCAAAACAATTATATAAGTGACAAGCTGACCCAAACCCAAACAACGCATGACATCGCAGTCTCAAATAACACTTCGACACATACCATGTACAGCCCGGCGCCGGCTGGAGTTCCTGCAAGCGGAACCGCCGTCACCATGCAAAATGGTTCATCGGTGCGTTTGACCAATGGTTGACAGTACACATCCCAATGTGCTGGCACAGAGTGGGGGCTGTTGGGGGAAGACTGCCAAGCGCAGACTGCAGACTGCCAAGCGCAGGACACTCAAATGCGATGTGCCATTGCCAGCTTTGTTGGGGTCTTTCTCCACAGGTATCCAACGGTTTCTCGTCTACACATTCCCCCAGTGTCTGAAGGGTGAAAAACAAACGCGTAATTGTAGACTCTGGATTAACAAACCCCTCCCATTGGACCTTAAAACACCTCTTCATATGGTGTATCTTATGAATCAAGAGGTCTACATGAACTTTCTCTGACTCGGCGGAGTTCTGACGGCGCACGCACGTGGCGTACCCCACGCACGGGAGCAGCTCCGGCCAAGCGAGCCGAAGGATCGTGACACAACTTGGGCGTCAACATCGAGACTAGCTTGTTCACCCCCAAAAAAAACGGGAGACCAGTACTCTGGAGCAACTCCAAGTTGTTTAGTAGTCTTATTGTTTAATAGTCTTATATATATATATAGATTTATATAGTCTATCTCTTTTCTCATGAAGTCTTTCTTCAGCTGCAGTCCGCAAACACAAACTGTCGCTTGGTGTCACCGAAACCATCTATAGCTGGGCGTGCCAGCTAAGAAGCTCAAGCAACTTACCCACACAACCACCAGTTCATCATAACTAATCCTCATCATCGTTCGAACTTGTCCCCTCCAAGCATCCATGGCTTCCTGGGAACTTCCCCAACAAACCCACCATGAAGATGGCGGGGCCTTCCCCCTCGGGTGGCCCACAGCAAGTGCCACATCCATGGGCACAACCCGGGATGCAACACCAGCAACCTGACGTCGACTCCGTACGATGCGACGGACGGTCCGCGGGACGGGTTTGCGCCAGTCTAGACGACTAGAGGCCGATCCATCCACGACGTGGGACAACAAAACACGATACGTTCCACCCAACACATGACGAAACAACGAGATACTTTTCTATTCTGATCTTTCTTTCGGTGTTTGGAAGATAAAGGTGCCAGGCAAAATCAGTCGCACTAGCTGCTACTAGCTTTAGGCCATCATCCTGTCTTATGATCCATCTGAACTTTTATGTACCAGAAAACTGGCGACATGGTGGGTATTCCCTATGGCAAAATGCTGCCATTTTCTGCATCGCTCGCATTCCCCGGCTTGAGCGAACGCCGTCGCCTCATGACCAGGGCAGTACTGCGGGGTCCCTTGGTTGATCCGTTGAATGGTCGCTTCGCGGTCTCACCATCGGGACTCCGGTCTCGCGCACGCCGGTCCGGAGGGGTTCCGGAGTGGACCTGGGTCGTTCAACGACCCAAGCCCCCCAAGCCCCCCAAATGGCCACCATGCGGCGACGACCGTTCCCGGTGCCATGACCTCATTTCGAGACGTGCCACACGGAGGCGGGCAAAAGGGAAATCCTCCTCCGCAGCACTGACAGCAACAGATCTTCGCAGGCCCTGGCAAGCCGGACCAAATCATGTAGCCACCGGGCCCATGGCCAATCCTGGAAGGATGGAGCATGATGGAGCCGAGGAGGGTGAAGATTTCCCGTTTCATAGAGAATCCCAACTCATTCCAGCTGGCCCAAGGAGCCAACACCGAAATCCTCACATCATTGTGCTCTTTCTATTCCGCATAGTCATCCTGGAGGAGAAAGATTATGGGAAAACCCAGAAAGCAATAGGAAACTGGTAATGTTTTTGGATAGGTTCATATCTCGATCTCTATATATACATACATGAATATTCTAACAACTCCCTGACCTCCGCAGTCTTGGGGGGCTTTTCATCCCTCTTTAAGGCTGTTTCTCTCGCCGAGAATCTTCATGTTCATCGGATGGTCCATCGGCGGGGGGGGTGCCTTTGTCCACAAACTTCTGGACCTGGCGAGGCCAGCGATCGTGTGCAAGTTGAAACGATCCGCTTGGTATTGCTTGGGTACTCACTCCTTGAGTTTCCCTTCTTTTTGGTTCGAGGCACCTGGGGCATGTCCTGTGGGGTTGCACCGAGATCACCGGCGACTACTGAACCGTTTCCCTGGAAAAATAGAGGTTAACCTGTTTCATCCTTTTTCATTCCTTTTCGACCTGTTCTTCTTTAGCGTTGACGCAAGCACGTCCGTCAACGCGCCGCGTTGACGCGCGTAAGCGTACCTCCTTCCCTTGCAGCAGTGCCAGAGCTTGCTTGCCACAGTGCTGCGAAGCGATCGTGATCCGTGCAGACACCGGGTGTCCGGGCACTTTGGTGGTCGTCACCTTGGAGAGACCGGGCCCCGCCCCGGAGAACACCTCGTTGGCACGGCGGGTGAACACCACGGGGATCTGGGTGTGGTTGGCTGAACTAGGGAGACGAAACCCATTGGTTGGAAGGGTTTCCTTATGCAGTCACAGCCAGGGGTTGGGGAGTGAAAATCAAAGATCCACAGTCCAAACGCTGCACAAATGTCAGAGTCAGTCGAAAAACCATGTGGCCCAAATCATTGACCTGGACATCTTACCCAGTTCAGCCCGCACGATGGGCCCCAATTCATCGGGTGGATGAAACAAAACATTGCCTAAGCTTTGCACATCCAACCTGATGGATGGCTACTTCATAAGTTCGGGGGACAAGTAGTTCATCACGTTTAACCCTGGTTCATTGGAGGCCTAAGTTCCTTGATCCTCGTATACTTTTTTCAATGGCGAACACTCTGAACCCACTCTCCCCAGGGTCTCATCTCAGCACGACCCTCTTGGGGTTCGCCTTGGGGGTCTTGGGGGTCTGCAACGACCAGAAGAAACATCTGCAGGCGCAAACCGATCGTTGCTTCTTGGTCAATGCTGTTCCAACGCTCAAGCCACAAGCAAAGACGAGCTACAGCGACATGAAAATGATGGATAGTCTGGGTTTGCTGACCCAATTAAACAGAGCCCGACAGTCTCTGCGCCTTACTTCATGCACACGTGGAAGAAGTGAAAACACAATAAATACATATATTATAACCATGAAACTCACTTAAACGCATGAAAACTATGCTTTGGACAAGTGTTTCTTCTCTACTTCCGCATGGCCAAGTGCAGCCAACGTTCTACCTCAACAAACTATCAGGCAAAAAATGCTTGGAGTCCATGTAAGTTTCAGTCAAACTACTTGTGACCATCATTAAGATTCGATCCAACTGGACAACCCATTGACTACACTACACCATGGTTTCCCTGATCATCTGTAGAACCTCCTCATCCTTCCCTCCTCCCCAAATCTTCGACTTCTTGTCCTCCATGGCACTCCAACGCCGAAGACTTCAGGATAGGCCTGGGATTGGAGGCACTCGTTGGAGATGATCGCGCCCGACGCGTCCAGGAGCTGCTTCCCTTCGCCTCCGGTCAGAAAGGCCTCAGTTCAGTGATTGGCCTCAAAGAAAGAGACGCGCGAACCAGGTCTGGGTCGGCGGAAGTTGACTGGTTGGCACTGGTTGGTGATGAAGTGCGAAGAAATGTGTATAGTTATATGTAGTTATACAGTTATACTATGTTAAAGTAATTCATGATACTCAAATGGAAAAATGTACGCAAATGCAAACACCCCAAATCACAGAAAGACTTGGATGAGCTCCACAATGGAAGTTGCTTTTGGGTTCTCTAAAGACATCGAAAATCATCGAAACATTTGTTCTACTGCATCTGGAAGAATTCTCCAGTGTTGCAGGTCCTCCTGGTCACACCATGAGAGATCCGTGAGTTGCTTTCCATGCTTATCATAGCTGGAGCGAAAGGTTCAAGTCAACTATCCAACTGACCAGGACATATGGTGCACCTGACCGTCTGGATCGCCAGTTTGCATTGAAAAACCAGGGGATTTGGAGTCCAAATGGGATGGACCGATGGCCCATCCGACACCTCCTTCCGACACCGCGCGTGGCGTGTCCGCCGAGGTGCGGTATTGGGCCGCACGGGATAGCAGGGGATGTAGACATCGAAGTCCAAGGTCTCGCCATTGTCCAGTTTCCTCGGGTTCCGACCCACGCGGCAAGACATGGCCAGGGTCGCTGTGACCGGAAGACCTGCGGAAGAACGGACACATCTTGGATGGGCCAAGGTACACTCGAGGCAGCATTCAAGCGCAGCAGTTTCTCGAGTGTAGGTGCGAAAAAGGGTCTTGTTAATTGGGATGAACCTGGGGACACAGTGACAAAAAGTAATACCTTTTGAAGCACGAGAATCTATACAATTCCTTTTGCCAGGTGGAGTGCCCATCTCAGGTCAATCGATAGTTCTTATGATTCTGCATTGTCAGGACCAAGCTTCAGTTTGCCCGGGCTTAAGATGGCGTCAGTGTAGGTGGGGTCCGACACCGAGGCATGCTTCACCTGACGAGTTCGAGAAGTCACCGGGCTCGGATGGTTAGATAACCACCACATGATCCTTCATGTTGCACTGGGTGCCGTGATATGTCTCATTAAATGAGGGCATTGTGACGTATTGTGTATTGCCATTAGAAGCCACATGGGCGAGAAACAACCTCAACAATCCGTTGGCTGGGTACACAGAATGCGGTCGGTCCCCAGCTACTACATTGCTCTCCAAACCCTCGTGAAACACGGTCGTCGGGGTGACCGTGTTCCGTGGTTTCAGAGTAGATGGCACTGGCACCCGAAGATGTCATTTAGATAGGGGTCCAAACCAAAAGCATTGACCAACCTGGGGGGCCCAACGGTGGAGCTACCTCTCAATCGAAGCTCTCAATCCACTGGCTTCCGGTGGAGCTACCGGGGGACCAAAAACAGGCCTCCACCTTGAACTTCTCCGTGAGGATTCCCGTGACCTTCTGCACCACCGCAGGGTCCGGCTTCCGGGATTTCTCCCCGTAGTCGCCTCGGGGACGCCGACGGAGGACTGAGAGACGGACCCTTCAAAAGGAGACCA